AAAAAAAAAAAAAAAAAAAAAAGAATACACAAGGACATGGCCAGTGGGGGAGGACCTGGAGCACACAGTAGGTACGTGGAAGCCTGGTGGGCTGAGGTTACTGATTCTTGCTCCTGGTGGCAGCAGAACCAATATGCCACCAGCCCTCCAGTCATTCGCTGGGCTGGAGGTGGGGCAGGCAGGCGGAGCCCAGGCCATTTTGGGGCCCTGGCCTGGCCTGCGTCGATGTCCTGGGTGGGGCTGTTGACGTGGCTGCTGGTTCTGGGAACCCCAGCTAGACAGCAGTTCCAGTAAGGCTGCTGCCTCAGAGAAGTATGTCCCTGGCGCTCTGCCATAGCGGCCCAGCTGTCCCCGAGGCCAGAGGAAGCTGCAGGCTGGCCTAAGATTGTGGGGTTTTAGGGATCAGTGGCTCCCAAGAGAGGCCACCGCATCCCCTGCTGTGTTGCTGGCTTCCTCTCCACATGCCTCTTGTCATGGGACTGACTGTATCCTGTCTGCTGATCCAGCCCCTTCAAGCTGGTTTGCAGTCAAGAGCGAGAAGAGCAAGAGGCCTGTCTGCCCTCTGGGCTCGGGAGGAGCCGCCTCAGTCACTCCGGCTGCCGCTGGCTTCTGACATTTCAAGACTTGCCACTCACCTCCCCCCAAATAAAAAGAGTGAGTTAAATGTATTTCTCTGCCAGAGGAGTGTTTTCGCCTCTGGCACTTCTGCTGTCTTCCTGGCTCAGGCTGTCACTGACTGCTGCTTCTTAACTCTGTGACCTTGGCTTCGTTACTTGCCCTCTCTAGGCCTCAATTTTTCTCTTTGGACAATGATAACCGCATCCCAGGGCTGCAGGGGCTGCATTTCAAAGGCAACAAAACAGGGATTAGGCACATGGATTCTGGAGTGAGACTGCCTGGGTTCAAGGCCCTAGTTCTGTGACCATAAGCAAGTGCTCTAACCTCTGTGCCTCAGTCTCCTCATCTGTAAAATGGGGAATTTAATGGCACCGACCTCATAGAGTTGTTGTGAGAACCAAATTGATTAATACATTGTAAGCACTGAGAACAATGCAAGGCACATAATAAGCACTATACATGCATTGCAATTATTATGGACAAGAGCTTGGTACATACCCGTGTTTAAAATCAGATGGCTGAATATGTTACGGTTGATTGTTTGCCAACCATTCATTTAATAGCTGTTTATTGAGCACTTACTTTGTACGTGTCCGGCACTGTTGAGGCACTGGGGACAAAGCAATGCCCATGGCAGACGTGACGTGATGCTCAGCCCTCATGGGACATGCATCCTCATATACACACGCAGACAAAGAGATCATTAAACGTCACGGGTCATCTTTTCTGGTCCCCACTCCATGAACTAGTTGCAGAGTGAGTGGGGCTATTTCTCCTTCGCCTGTTTTTCTCTCTTGATTTGTAAGATCTCCTTATATATTAAGGCCATATATTGAGGCCAGTCTTACTCCAGAATCTCCGTCATGTAGATTGCTACCTTTTTCTAGTCTCTCTGTTTCTTTCTCTCTCTCTCTCTCTCTCTCTCTCTCTCTCTCTCTCTCGCTTTCTTTCTTCCTCTTTCTTTTCTTTCTTTCTGGCATGTTTTGACCTGGGGAAGTTGAAAAAATTTTTGCGTCAGATCTCTGTATCTTTGCCATCTATATCCTGAAATAAAATAAGCATTCACACCTGTAACCTCAGTGATGTGATTAGAGATGCTGATAAGTATGTGACAGAAACAAACAGGGTGCCGTGTGGAAGGCTGCACGGGACAAAAGGGCTGGGAGTGTGTCAGGCTGCTCAGAGGCCGGTGGGACTGAAGACTTGTGGGGGAGGGAGGGGGCAG